GCGGGGATTGGAGGTAAAGCCATAGCCGAGCCTCCTCACAGCATTTGTGTGAATTTTGGAGATGGCTTGGTCAATGGCTAAACGAGAATCAAGAGGGAAGGAGGCTGCGTGTCTGGGGGACCCAGAGAAGTCTGTGGTTAGCCGAGTCAGACCAACCCACACTCCCAGAGACTACACTGTTGCTCCTTCCTTTGCATGTGCACAGAGAGTGGGGTTCCTGGGCTCCGTTCACAGGGAGTCCTGTCCTCTCTCCCAAACTGACCTAAGCCACTTGCAATTTAAATTTCACCGAGGGAAGCTTTGGACTCACTGTGGCCTGCAAGGATCTCTGTTTCTATAGTCCCAGTGCTTGCCAACAATCCTGATATTAGCCTAAGGACATGCTGAAATAATTATTTCCTTCAAATATTCATGCTACGTTAAGTTCGAAAAAAGCAAATTTTATAGGCATATAGATACACAACACACAGACATTAAAAAGCCATTTCTGGGAAGTAGGATTACAGACGTTTTTAAATGTTTTGTATATTTCTGTGGGGACCCAGAGAAGTCTGTGGTTAGCCGAGTCAGACCAACCCACACTCCCAGAGACTACACTGTTGCTCCTTCCTTTGCATGTGCACAGAGAGTGGGGTTCCTGGGCTCCGTTCACAGGGAGTCCTGTCCTCTCTCCCAAACTGACCTAAGCCACTTGCAATTTAAATTTCACCGAGGGAAGCTTTGGACTCACTGTGGCCTGCAAGGATCTCTGTTTCTATAGTCCCAGTGCTTGCCAACAATCCTGATATTAGCCTAAGGACATGCTGAAATAATTATTTCCTTCAAATATTCATGCTACGTTAAGTTCGAAAAAAGCAAATTTTATAGGCATATAGATACACAACACACAGACATTAAAAAGCCATTTCTGGGAAGTAGGATTACAGACGTTTTTAAATGTTTTGTGTATATTTCTGTTTTCAGAATTCAAATTTAAGACGCTCAAAACAAAAGTCACTTCTCCAGTAACTCAAGAGAGAAGCATGAGCATCAGCTTACATTCTTCCCTTCCTCTGACCTCCCACATCCAGCAGGTAAGGGTGTCCTGTGGATGTTTCCACCTGTCACTTCTTTCCTCCGAGCCCATTCCACTGCCTTGGGAAGCAGTACTGTGTTCACAGCGTGGACTGGAGCTGCTGCAGAGGCCTAGAAGCAAAGTGCACAGGGACCCCGGGAGGCAAGAAAACACCCAAAGCAGTCCTCACCCTGAGAGCACCTGTGAACCTGGTGACCGTAAGCATCCTTTCTGACGGCTGTGATGGTGATGGAGATGAAAGAAAAAGCTGGGGCTTACCCAGCATGGACTCTAAGAGAAGACCTTATATGATCATGGGCCCGACCTCAGCATAAGGGTGAACGAGAGAACCATCCTGCGGAAGGATGGCTAGAAAAATGGCCTGTTTTGACCTTGGTACTAAGTGGTGCAGGGTTAGAAAGCTCACGAAGTCTTTGCAACCAAAAGTCTTCACATGGATTTGGAGCCCAAATTTATGTTGTGTCTCCTATAAACCTCTAGTGGAGAATGTTGTTTTAAAATGGTCCCAGTTGATAGTGCCCTTCAGTAACTAACAGAAACAAAAACAAATTCCAAATGAACTCCAACCAGGCCTCAATTAATTATCTGATAAAGCTCTAAGGAGCATGAGCATATAGTACAAGAAAATAAGTAAAAAAAAAACAAGATACAATAATAAGGAAACAAGGCCACATATACATGGGAACCAGCAATTGATAGAATTGGACTCACAAAGACTTTATAAATATAGTATGCAGAATACAAAATAGATGTATTCTATTTCTTTATATGTAAAGAAACAAGAGAGGTTTGAAATTACAGGCAAGAGTTTTGGGTAAAAATACCACCCAAATTTGATGCCTCCTGAAACGTTATTAAAAGACGAAGAACCACCCAGCTGGCGTGGCTCAATGGTTGAACATCAACCTATGAACCAGGAGGTCATGGTTTGATTCCTGGTCGGGCACGTGCCCCGGGTTGTAGGCTCGATCCCATGTGGGATGTGCAGGAGGCAGCCAAGTGATGATTCTCTCTCATCGATGTTTCTCTCTCTCCCTCTTTCTCGCTGAAATCAATAAAAATATATTAAAACAAAAAAAGACAAAGAACCGTAAGAGGAAGGGAAGCAACAGGAGTAAACAATATAATTCTGCAGTTGGAAAGAGGTGGCAGTGTAGTGGTTGACTTAGCAGACTGAAGAATTCCTAAGACAGTAATGAGGAATCTAATTATACTAAAAATCTACAAAATGCTCAGGTTTAGTGGTATTGAAACTGGTGGTAAAGTTTGGCTAAAATAAGGAGTGCTTAAGAAATGGATGCCCTAGACCAGGAGTCAGCACACTATGGCCCCACATGTTTTTGTAATAAAGTTTTAATGGAACACAGCTATGTGTATTCTTTACCTATTGTGCATAGCTGCTTTTGGTATTGCAAGGGCAGAGTTGAATAGCGGTGGCAGACTGTTATGGCCTGTAAAACCGAAAACATTTACTACCTGACCCTTCACAGAAAAAGTCTGCTGACCCTTGCCCTGGATTCTTTACCTATTGTGCATAGCTGCTTTTGGTATTGCAAAGGCAGAATTGAATAGTGGTGGCAGACTGTTATGGCCTGTTAAGCCGAAAACATTTACTACCCGACCCTTCACAGAAAAAGTTTGCTGACCCTTGCCCTAGATCAGGGGTTCTCAACCTGTGGGTTGCGACCCCTTTGGGGGTCGAACGACCCTTTCACAGGGGTCGCCTAAGACCATCGGAAAACACATATATAATTACATATTGTTTTTGTGATTAATCACTATGCTTTAATTATGTTCAATTTGTAACAATGAAAATACATCCTGCATATCAGATATTTACATTACAATTCATAACAGTAGCAAAATTACAGTTATGAAGTAGCAATGAAAATAATTAAAGGGTCACGGCATTAGGAAGGTTGAGAACCACTGCCCTAGATCCTCTCCCATTTCGTGCTGTTGGATGAACATTAGGGCCACTGTGGGGAGGAAGAGTTTAGGGCTCTGAGAAAATTTTGTGCCTTGTTAATTTGTACTGTTTCCATAAAACTCTTTGCCCTGGAGATGTTCCCTCTTATACCATGGCAGAAGACCCAAGATTTATTCTCAAAAAAGAATAAACAAAGTCTCTAGGCCAGGACACCAGGAATTGTCAGAGGGGAGGGGATGTCCCTAACCATTTGCATCCTGAACTCTGACGCCAGCCCACCTACCCCACCCCATACTGCCCTCTAGGCAGGACACAGGAAGCCAACTACAGGAAATCTGACCATCCCAATGAAAACAACTAAAGATATGGAAATTGGCCCATCAGACTCTCCCAGTGAAGCTTACTCAAGTGCTCTGAGCTCCCAATAAGCTTTGTAGTCTCCATTCTTATACCTAAGTGGACAACCAAGAAGACATCTGAGGGAAGGAACAGTGCAGGATAAACCAACAGACAAAAGCACCTTGGAGGAAAAGGAAGAAGATAACCTCAAATAGGCATAAAAAAGGACCATTTGGAGGAAAAACATAAACTTTTAGAATTTGCATGATGGAAGTGAAAAACTCTACCCAACAGGGGATCACATGGTAACTTGGGGGATCGCTCTTGGAAAGTGAAGCCTGGAGTGGAGCATCCACCTGGCTCACCTGACCCCAGAACCTAACAGTCAGTAGCAGTTCTGAGCAGGTGCTGCAGACATGTGCTGCTGCTATAGGCATTCAGAGTTCACACCATCCCAGGCAAGACACTAGAAATACATTTATAAATCTCTTAAGTGCTGAAATACGGTGGATGGGTGGTTTCTTGTGTTCAGCTTGAGGGAGATATTTAACCCACTTTATTCTTCAGTAGCCTCAGATAAGTGTTAGTGGAATCTCGTTTGGCATTCTCCCAGTGAGCCTGGAGGACGTAAACGAGGCTGCGGCCCATGAGCCCCGAGTTTGATACGCTTGAATGTAGTTCAAATTTTATACCTACCATGGAGCGTGCACCTTGCTAGACACTGACAGGCCAGCAGAGGACATTTGGCTCAAGCGGACTAGAAAGTCCTGAATGAGAAAGTGGCCCCAGCCTCATTTCGTGGAAGAGCCAGTGGTCACCCTATCTGGCTCAATAGGAGGCAGCCACATGGAGGGCGAGACAGCAGGCCAACGATAACAACGGCCAGCACTGATCGGTCTGAAGGACAACGAACTCCACCGCCCAGCCTCCACCTGTGCTTGTTGTGCATAAAATTCAACCCCAAGGACAGCGGAGGCTGAGTCCTGAGCTTCCCCCCATTCCCTCTAATAAACTCCCCTCTTGCTGGCTGCATTCCTCCATTTCCTGGAGCAACTCCAATCTTACAGGCACCTTATGGACATGGTTGAATTTCATTCTCACAATGACCCTATGAGGTAGCTAGTATTATTACCATTTTCCAGAGAAGTAAACTGAGGCTCAGGAAGTTTTAAAGTAACTTTCCTATAACCTTCCACATGCCTGTTAAGTGTTAGAGCCAGAATTCAAAGCAGGTTTGTCTATTTAACTATTCTGCTCCTTTCATTATACAAAGCTGTCTGCTCCCTGAATCAATTAATTTTCATTTTAATTGATTAAGCCCACCATAGTCATAGCCCCCTATCATACAATAAGATTTCAGGAATTTTTCAGGACTTCATTTCTACTGTTTGTATTTGTTTTTACAAAACTTCCTAAATTTCTCTTCATCCCCAGAGCACCCAGCACAGGACCTTACACCAACAGGTGCTCAGCAAAGAATTGCCGCGTTTTGTAGGTACAGCTAGGCCTCCCGACGGTGACTTACCTTCCTGGCAACCAGCTGGATGGCATCATCCTCAAAGGCCTTTAAGTGTTTGAGTCGGGACATTAGAATCTGCTGCAGCTGCCTGTAAGTGTAGGGCTGGAAGGACATCCTGGTGAAACCCTGGGGAGCCAGGATGACAGAGAAACAAGTTCATGGATTGCCCTCTGATAGCCCTGGTGGAAAGGTACCCACCGTCCCCAAATCCATAACAGTGTGCAGATTTCATGCTGGGACTCCCACTGCTTCCAGCTCTTCGTTACTGACAATGGTAGTTCTCAACTACTTTTCATTTAGTTTAAAATATCCTTTTATTCTGCCAGAATCATTGAGAAGTAGAGACAAGTAGAGGTGCTCCGATGAGAGTGGATGGGAGCATCTTCAGCTCTATGATCTGTGCAGGCACAGCTCCTGGTCTCACTCACCATGCCTAGAAGTACCTGTGGTTCAGGCTGAACCAGGGGTCCACGAGGGCAGAGACTGCATCCACCTTGCTCACTGCTACACTCTACCCATCTAACACTGCCTGGCAAGGGAAAGCGCTTAAATACATTTTAAATATAATTAAACCTCCAGGGCCCTGCAGTTTAACAGTGCACAGGCAGCAGAACATCAAGATGTGTTTTCAGCAAATCATGCAATGGCGATATGTTTAATTCCAACTTAAAATGAGAAGAATTTTAGAATCCACATTTCGTACTTTTCCCATTTATTTTAGTGTCCTATGTATTCATTTTTGCAGGACTCCTTAGCACAGCTTCTGGATCTGTAAGAACAACTTGAGAACGGCCCCAGAACCTACCAGTCGGCTTGACACCCGGTTCATCATGATGCGCTCTGGCAGGTCCATCGTGTTGGCAATGGCCAGGACCACAAGCTGGGCCTCCTTGTGAGTGGGCCAGTCAAAGAGATTGTACATTACATCTTGTTTCTGAGTCCACAGAAGGTCAAGCTGCCGGGGAAATGGAGAGAGATGCAGGGTCAACTACAGAGACCGCGCCAGGGCCCAGAGTGAGACCTGTCACCACTGTATTAGCTGCATGCGCTTCTCAGGGCACATCGGCAGAGCAGCAAGGAAATCAGTGGGCACGTGCCACTTGCCACCAGACAACAGGCTTAGATGAAGGAAGGAGCCAAACCTTCCGTCCTGCCCAGTACTTGCTCCCAAAACATCTCGATCAACAACCATGTGGCTTCTTTCCCAGTCTCCTGTGGGCACCTCCTTACCTCGTCCACAAGCAGCACGGTGGTTTCCTGAGAGGACCCTTGGGTGCGAAATCGCTTTGCCAGCAGTTCGGCTGCATGGTTAGCTGTTGCCTTTTGGCCTGTCATCTTCTGCATTGGGGGAAAACAGGTATGGTGAACTCTAAGGGCTTAAAGTTAAATCTGCAAACAGAGGAAGCTATTTAGTCTGAGGATTTCAGGATCCTATACTCTGCCTTCTACCCTAAACTTGGAAGGCACCAAGACAGAAGATAGAGAAAGTCTGTGTGATTGAAATGAAAATGAACCACAGACTAGTCCCAGAAGCCCCTCCAAAATCATTACTTCCTAACTTTATAACTGGACATTATCTGTTACAAGAGAACAGCTAATGAACCAAGAGTGAGGTGCAAACTTGCGCCTACCTCCAACCCTTTTCTAGTCTGCCACACTGCCTCCTGTGTGCAAATGGCTTTCACCATGACAGTAAGTACTAGCTTCCAACATTTCATAACGAGCTCCTAGACGTTAAGGTCCCTGTGGGTAGGAATTCTGCCTTTGCTCTTGCTATCTCTACTCAAAGAGCAATGCCTGGAATGTTGAAAATATGTAATATGCACAAAATGAAGTAAACCTTTTTCTTTTCATGTACCACCAAGACTGTATTTTCCAAAAAGCCCAAACTGCTTTGCTTACCTGCAAGATCTGCACGTAGACTTGGTGGGGCTCTGTCAGTTTCATGCCATTGACTTCAATGTATTGAAAGGGAGGAACATCATTTGCTTGGGCCGCCTGCTGCAGACAGTGTATTACCTCGTGTACAGTGGCAGTCTTCCCGGTCCCAGGTACCCCAGAGATATACATGCACCTAGGCAGGAAGGGAAGGCGTGAGGGTTAGGTCTGTGCCAGCTGCCTCACCAGTTAGGAGTGAGCAAATGTCTGCTGAAGGAAGGACCAAGAGCCCTGAAATGTGGAGGTGGGGGCAGTAGGGACTATCTGGGAAGCTGATTAGAGCAGGGCCTGTTTCCATAGAATCATTCATTCCACAAGCAATGGCAGTGTCATTTTTCTTTGAAAAACAGAATTCCTATTCCTACAGAATAACTTTGACAACAAAAAGCTGCTTTATAAGCTTTAGGCTTTTCCCTGTTCTCCTGACACGGGGCAAAGACCATCTGGCCGATCTCTAACACCTGAGGGGTATACCAGCAGGAGCCTTCTCCCCCGACCATCCGACCTGGCTCAGCATGACTCACCCTCCAGTATGATCAAGGAGTTTGCTTTCCACAAAGTTGTAGATATCTTGGAATTCCTTTTCCCGACAGGGAAGAGAGTCAGGTACAGCAGAAACATGCAGACTAAATAAGGGAAAAGGAGGATTTTAGAAGCATTTCACCATCTATTCAATAATAAATTGAAAGACTTATCTAGTTTCTACATAAAACCTTAATCACAAACCCAAGGGAATGTCTTCATTCTCAAATCTCTTCATGTAGTTGCATAATCCCTTTCTCTCCCCAAATCACCAACTCAGTGGTGCTAACCAAAGGTACACGTCACCTGGGAAGCTTTCCCCAAATCACATGGCTGAACCTCATCCCACAAGAGATTCTGATTCGGTTGATTTCTGGAAGGATGCAGGCTTGTATATTTTTTACAAGTCCCAACACAGTTCTAAAGAGTGTGACACTTGAGAAGGAGTGTCCTGACTAGTCACCTCCATCCCTGAGAAAAGGATGGCAGCAGACTGGACGGTGACTCCTAGAACCAGTCTGCATTAGCTGACCCAGACACTACTGGAGAGGTTTCTTCTCTCTGAACACACATGTTCATTGTACTCTATTATTACTCCTGTTTCACGTGAATGAAAGCAGAGGCCCATCTCTTCCTATCTGAAAGGGGCCCATGAGCAGTGTTACCTTAGCCGGGCCTCCTCTAGCACGCTGGCAGGTCCCCGGACAGCCAGGTTTCGGCTGCGGATCTGGGGAGTGGCAGAATGTGGCATTCTAGGCTTGGGCTATATTCAGAAAAAGAGAGAACATATTTCAGAAAAAAACAACACACACACACACACACACACACACACACACACACAAACCAACAACAAAGCAAAACACCATCCAGGACACATTAGCAAATCTGATTCCTGATGACTTGCTAAAAAGAAGAGAAGTGGTGTATTTCTTAGTTCTTTTATGTATAAAATACCATGATTCTCCCTCTCTCTCCTCACATCACACATACACTTTGTTCATAGTCCAAACACAATTTCTTTTTTCCAATTTACACACAGTATTAGGATTTGAAAACAATGTCAATCTGGGGAAAGAATAAATGAAAGTATGGATTAAACACTATTTAAAAGTAAAATATTACTTTAAAAAAAAGGTAAATTATAAAGAAATCCTAACTACCCTGCCCAAACATAGGGTTGAGTGGGAGGCATAAACTGGGTTTGATTCAGAGGATCCTCCTATAGAATGGTTTGAAAACATGGTTAGACCTTGTTTACCGGCTTAACACCTAATAACTTTGGAGAAAACAGGAAAGGAGTAAGAAAACCTTGCTCAGAATGTATCAAAATGTCACCCCAATCAATTTAGTAGTAATTAATAAATAAAAAGAATGTATCAAGAATTTGGTAGATTTCTGGTCTTTTTTATTATGCTAAAGATGCCCTCACTCCCAATATGATATCTCTTCTTCTCGGTGGGACCCAGGAGATGCAATCAAACCAGAAGGTAGGAATTCTTTGCATAAAAAAGAATCCCAGGTAAGATCGCCTCACGTCTAAAAGTTATCTATTGGATTTCCTTCCATGGAGGTGTTCCAAAGAACAATATGCTCCACAAAAAAATTTAACTGGTCAAAGACTCCTGCTCTAAGGCTCTCTCTGAAGGTCGCAATAACATTAATACACATCTGAACATGGGAAGACTCTTTGTTAAAGTTCCATAGGAAGCAGAAGAGACATCCATTATTCTCTTCCAGTTACACAACTCATTACCAATACCTGAGTAGTACTCCTTGTTTCTCACGCATATCAAGTGACACTGTTACCGGACAAGTGACTGGACCCTGAGCAGGTCTGCCTACAACCAGCCAGTAGTGTGTAGGTTCTTGACTTCGTGCAGGAAAAATTTCACGATACGAGTCCAGGTGACTATGGGGGTACATTTATTAGGGCCGGGGACAGTAAAACAAGGAAGGGTTTAGCAAAGTAGAAGCAACAGAATAGCCTAGGCTGGGCTGCGTTAGCTCTCTGGGAAGTCAGAGAAAAGGGGCCCTTGGAGACAGGGTCAGGGGGGTTAGCCTGGGACAGCTGCCACTGCCCATTGCTCCCCTGGTTGCAAGTCTCATGGGTCCCTTAGAGTTTGGGGATGCACAGATGTGGGAGAACAGGGGGAAGGAAATGGCACCGGTTGCTCTCCAGAGGGAGAGCATGTGTTGGGTCCTTTGTTTCGAGGCTTTTATCTCTCTCTTGCAGGCAGGAATCAGGGGAGGTCTCAGCAGAAGAGTCATTAGTTTTCCTGGTGTGCCCTTTCAAGTTCATGATCTCTATTGATTGGTAGGTGCCAGGGCAAGGATCATTAGTTAATGCAGCTGCTCCTGGCATTGCCTACCTGGGTTTGCTGCTTTTCTGGGCCTGGAGCTTAAATACAACTGAGGCCTAGACGTGATCTCTAGGGAGGTGACCTTCTGTGTCTGGCTGTAAATTGCTGGGCCAGTTTGTTCAGCTGTCCGTCTCAATTTCTCTATTCTGCTTGTCCTGGCTTACTGGCCTGTCTCAGAGTAAAGACAACACGGCTCAGCAGCCCTGATTCAATACCCACTGAGCACTGATTACACTCAAATGCAAAGATCAAGTGCCAGTTCTGTCCTTCCCTCTGGAAGTTCGGCTCTTGGCCATGGTTTTGTATTTTAAAGGGAACTCAAAAATCACTATCTACTGCACAGGTGGGGAATGTCCAGCTGGTGGGCCATAGAAGGCCCAGGAAATCATTTGGTCTGGCCCTGCCAAGGCATTAGGGGTGAGTTAATTAAATGTTTGACCAAGCATAGCAGGCTAGTTTTTAAGATAATTTTGTATAGCCCTCGAATGATGTTATAAATATCCAAATGGCCCTTGGTAGAAAAAAGGTTCCCCACCCCTAATTCTGGATTCATTTTCAGCCCTAGGGTTCATGAATATTCCAAGTGTAATAGCTTTCAATACAACACACCTGTACTCAGAACCCAACTATTACTAATAATAGTGTGATATCAGCCATCACATTTTAAATTGAGAGGGATGCTTCACTGGAAAATAAAGCTAAAAGAACCTTACGGTTTTCTTTGGTGTCTTGGAGGGGGTGTGTAAGGACGACTTCGTGGAAGAGTGTAGGTTCCTGGACACACAACTGCGTGTTTTCCTTGGAAGAGATGGTGTCGAAGCCTCTTCCTCCTCACTGTCCGAGTCTGCAATCTCTGCTGCAGGCAGAAATTCTTCCTCTTCTTTGTCATTTTTTCTATTATCTAAAAACCTGAATGGTGGGACACATTTTCTGATATTCAGTGTTTGAAGTCTAAATCAGAGGCACCCTAACAGGTTA